ATGTTCTTACATCTCGCCTCTGTTGACTTAACAACTGAGCTTATAGGCTCAGGGAGTAATTTGTTTTGATTGTGTTCCACTACACCAAGTTGCCCGACACTGATGAGACCCAATAAAGGTCGAAACAGCTGTCTGTCGGTATTTGAAGTTGGTGGAACGCATTCAAAACAAAAAACTTTGGCGAGGTGTAGGTTCAATTTTTTCTTAAAAATATCTAAAGAAAATGATGAACAAATCCTTTTTACAATTTTTTTATTATTCAAACGAATTACTGGTAATTTTTAATGTTCATTATGTTATAATGAACGTCCAAAAAGGCGTGTAATCTATACTTCTGACAACATTGGAAGCCTTGTTTCTTTCGATGGTGTTTAGAATGTGAAAGTATGCTTTACTCGCTTTTTAAACGTAAACAAATCTGTCCATTTGTTTTGGTAGTCTGTGATATATATATATATATATATATATATATATATGTATGTAGTGAAACAAAACCTAGAGGAAATTTATAGTTTTATTTAAATAAATACATGATAAACTTATTAATAATAATAATAATAACAATAATAATAATAATAATATATCCATTGTCCAGCCCATTTTTTATTCTTAGTTCTAAATTATAAATATGCCTTAAATGTGTTCATATTATGGAACGACCTTCATAATCAGAACTGTTTTAAATGTTATTTTTAAAAAGTGCTTTAAAAGGGTCTATAAACCATAAAAAAACATTTAAGATTTTACGATTTCAAAATAATATTATGTGCATTGAAAAAAATCAAATTAATTAAAAAGTGCTTCAAAAGAGCACACAATCAGGAAAAAGTGCTTCAAAGGGACAACATATTTTAAAAAGTTCTTTGAGGGATTCACAAAAATTTGCTTCAAAGGAGCCCAAAATTATTATTAATAAATAATAAATATGTATTATCCTAATAAAATAAAACTAAAATTAAAGCTTTATTTTATAATTTATTACAATTATTTAGTATTATTAAAGAATATAAAAATAGAATACATTTATTTTTTTTAAATTGTTATTTATTTCCATACAAATTGAACTGTAGTAATTAAATTAGAATTGGCTTCACCACTTTTTTTTTCTTTACACATTTTCTTTGTTAATACACTATTTTAAATCTAATCCAATGTTATTAATTTAACTTTAACACGTGTTGTATACTTACATAAGTAATAAATCCCAAAACAATATCCAATGATATTTTTAATTTATACTGACAAAACTTAAATAGTTTTATTGTTTTAAATAACTAGATCATATAATATTAAAAAATTAATTTTGACAGATTAACGTTTATAATAAATTTTAAATATACAATAAACTATAGACCAACAAGTAAGCAAAGCACTAAAAGAAACGTCTTAGCCGCATGCAATACAGCATTTTATGTTCAACAATTATTAAAAGAAGAGGTGTGTTCAGAAAATAACGGGAATTGTTAAATTTCGCGGGTTCGGAGGGTCCGGTTGTCATAAAATTTTCTTTATTATGTTGGTATACATGCCCCCGAAGTATGATAAAAAGTTTAGCTGTTTTCATTGTTTACTTTGTCTGTGGCAGCCGCTAAGGTTAGACGTGTTTTATGAGCTCGGCGATTTTTCGTTCGTTAAAAGAAATTGATCAAAGACTTTGTAACCAATTTAGCTTAAAAAATGAAATAAATTCTGTGAAATGTTAACAAAGGACTATAGTGAGTCTGCTATAAGTAAAACAAGAGTTTACAAGTGGTATAAGAGTTTCCACGATGGCCGTGAAGACGTTGAAGATGACGAACGCCCCGAACGCACTAGCAAATTAACAACCGATAAAAACATGGAAAAAGTGGAAGAAATGGTTATAAACCATCAGAGAAGTCGCTGATGATGTTGGTATATCGATTGGCTCATCCCATGAAATTTTTTCGAATGTTTTAGGTATGAAACGCGTGGCAGCAAAATTTGTTCTAAAATTGTTAAATTTTGAACAACATTTTTGGCCAAGAGCAATACTGTAATGATGCCCCAGCCTTCATATTCGCCAGACATGCCTCTGTCTGACTTTTTCCTATTCCCAAAAATAAAGAGAACATTAAAGGGCCGTCGTTTTGCAAGCATAAATGACATTAAAAGCGCATCGCTGAAAGAACTAAAGGCTATCCCACAGATCGAGTTTTAGAAATGTTTAAAGTATTGGAAGATGAGCCGGCACATGTGCATTATATCCATTGGGGAATATTTTGAAGGCGACAACATTAATGTAGACTAATAAACAAATATTTGTTTCAAAAAACGAAAATTCCCAATATTTTCTGAACACACCTCGTACTTATTGGTCAATCGGTGCTAAATTTTTGGAAGCCACGCCTTTTATCACAAATTGACCCATGTATGCATGTTGTCCACGTGCTCTTCGCGCGTAGTGGTGATATGGTTAAATGAATGTCCTAGAGTTTTTCAATGTCTATCTGACTTAAATTTATTGCAATATTTTCTTTTAAAATTCACTTGTAATGTATTCTTGTAACATTTATTGAATCGCACCCTTAATTTACAAATGAATTGCCCTCCAGTCAGTGGCGTAACTCGGTCGGATTCTGACTAGGGGGCCCTTACCAGGATTTTTTTTTTAATCATTACACAATAATATTCATTGCTCAGGATTTAGAAGGGTTATTCAAGGTGTTCAAATGATGTTGAAAAAAAGGATCAAGTGTTATTCACTTAAAACATTTTATTTTTATGGTATAATACTCAAATCAGATCTACGTTTCAAAGAATATTTTTATTCTCATATTTCAAACTGTCTCATTGCAAACATAATATATTATATGTATGCTATAGCAATTAGTAGTACTATAAATTAATATATATATATATATTAATTTATAGTACTACCTACTAATTTATGCTATATTATAAATAAGATTTCGAATTTGAGAGTTTGAATCTTGATTTTTTTGTCAAAAATTGTAAATGTAAAATCGAAAGTTTCTTATTTTAGATTGCAAATTTTTCATTTTTATTTTTTCATCTCTGAATTTCTATTTTTGACTAAGAATGTATACCTATTAGACTGGGCCAAAAAAATCGACTATTTTTTTTTGTAAAGTATATAGAAAATATTGTTTGGGGTGACAAAAAAAATTATGGTGAAAGTTTGAGTCCATAATATTAATATTAAGAGGTCTATCATCGCAATTTTAGATTTTTTTTCCTGAGCGAGTTTTTGTCTAAGTACTCCCAAACCATTGAGTTTAACAAAATTGACTTAGAAATATTTTTTGAAGAAAATTGAATGTTCTACAAAAAAGGTAAAATTGGAATTTCCCGATGAACCGTTTTCTTACAATCATGCCTTAAAAATTGGTATAGTTTTACAATTTGATCTTTTAAATTTGGAATTTTGTAATTCATGTAAAAATCAGTAACCGGAAAAAACCGATAGATATTCTTATGGGAAATCAAATGCTCCACAAAAAAAGTCTCCTAACATTTATTTAAGGTTAAATTTGAAGTCCAAACGAAATACTTGATTTTTCCGCTCTAGTTTTTTTTTTGGGTCAGTTAAAAACTTGAATTCTTTTATAGATGATAATCTTTATGTTATTGATAAAATTATTGAAAATTTAAAAAAAAATAACACATTAGAGTTTTTTCGCTTTAAGAAGCTATTTTGTTTAGAAAATAATATTTTCACTGTTACCTATTTAATCGTTTAAATAATAACAATCATATTGTTTTTTTATTGGAAATTGTTAATTAGTTACATAATACACATTTATAAAGAAAAAAATCAAATTATAACCCATAAAAAAATAAATCTACAGGGGAAAAAACAAGAACCTTGAATAACTTTTGATTGAGTGAATTTAGCCAAAAATTTTAAGAGGCTTTTTTTGTAAAGCATTTGATTTCCCATAAGAATATTTATTGGTTTTTTTCTGGGTACTGATTTTTACATGAATTACAAAATTCCAAAGTTAAAAGATCAAAATGTAAAACTATACAAATTTTAAATGCCTGATTTTAGGAAAACGGTACAAAATTTTATCTCAACCTTTTTTGTAGAGCATTTAATTTTCTTAAAAAAATATTTACAAGTCAATTTTGTTAAACTCAATAGTTTGGGAGTTCTGAGACAAAAAATTTGCTGAAGAAAAAAATTTAAAATTGCGATGATAGACCTCTTAATATTAATATTATGGACTAAAACTTTCACAATAATTTTTTTTAGTTACGATATACTTTTCAAAAAAAAATAGTTGATTTTTTTGGCTCAGTCTAATCCTATTCAAAATTTCAGACTTTGATGTGAAGTATTCGATTTCGAGTTTATGATTCTAGATTTGCAATTTCAAATTTTAATTAACCTGTGTTTATTTCAAAATATTTAACTCCAAATTTTGAGTTCAAAAATTTGAAAAAAAGAACAAATATAGGCAACGAATATTTATTATTACAAAAAAAACAAAAATTTTATTTTTTTATATTGAACATTTTTCTTATACATATTTAGTTCAAAAAAAATTATCTTGCCACTTCTGGGGGCCCCCTGCTGCTCGGGGCCCCGGTCTCTGAAACCTGTAGGACTGTTAAAATTAAATTTAATTAATCAAGATTATTAAACAAAGTATTTCTACAGGATCAGATAAAAATAGCCACGCAGTATAATATAAAAAACAAAAATAATTAATAAGGAAGAAATTTGCAGGTTTTTATAAACTTTTTGGGAAAAATATTTTTTTACATCCGCTGGTAAAGTCTTAAAACTTAAACGTATAAACATTTGAATTAACTTGAAAAATAAAAAAGGCAAAATAGCAAAACAAGTTTTTATCGCCTAGTACATTATACTTGTATGACTAATCATACGTAAAATTAAACATATATGTATACATATAATCTACTAATTAAAAAGACATTTCTTACTCAATTAAAAAAAACATAATTAATCTAGTTAATGTTCTCCAGACCGGAACGCATGATTTGCATCTATCTTTCCAAATTTAGGACACAAGTAAAACCAAGTTAATATACATAGACAAATTAACAGTTTTTTTTTAAGTTAATATGTAAAAATCTTATTGTAGTATTAGATATACATACGCATAATACATTAGTAGAGTAAACCAATTAAAAATCAATTGCTTAATAAGATCGTACAAAGTAAATGTGGGACAAAATTTTTCTTCTCAGTCATAAGAATTGTCTGAGATTTACTGTCTACATTTCACTTTTCATTGCATACGTTTAAACCCCACATTATATAATAATGAATATTAATATGGGAGAAACATTCCCTTTAATAATATTATTAATATCAAACAAAATCTCACATTATTATTTCTGCAGTAATCATGTCCACATGGCAGCCCCAAAATTTGTCTTCAACATGTGCAAACGCAAACAGTCCCTTTGCGCCCATTTCGACATGCCAAAATTCGACTTTCGTGTTCCTGCAAATGCTGACAAGCTTTTTTGGCCGTCCTGCAAATAGATACTACGAGACCGATCAGCAGGAGCAGTTTTCTGAGTACGCGAATTTTAGGGAGTTATTAAAGTACCAAAATCCTCCATTGGATTTTCAGGAGCATAAAGAGGAGCCGCTAAAAGGCCAACCAAAGCAGCCGGAGCCCAGAATTTTCCAGCAGGGGATAAGTGACTACGACTTTATTATTATCGGAGCTGGTACAGCGGGCTGCGTTATGGCCAACAGGCTGTCGGAGATCGAAGGCTGGAAAGTAAGTACAAATTTTGTTTTTTGCATGAACATATTTTTTTATCTAATCCTACATTTAATATACTAGTGTATTCAGTTACTTAAGGGACTAGTGCATTAAATTAGTTGTCAGTAGGGTGGGTTGAAAACAAAATGTATGTTTTTTTTTTCTTAGCATGGGGGTAGAATTTAAACCTTATAAAAAAAATTTTTTTAGAAGAAAAAAAAATTTTTTACTCAACATCTTGAGGTGGCCCACTCGTTTTTTAAATAAATATTTAATCAAATGGGGTAATTCCAACGGGAAATTCTTTTTTTTTGTCCAAAATCGTGGAAAACATGTAAATATTTTAGGATGTGATTTTTTTTCACCCAACTTTCATTCTAACACAAAAGAAAGTGCATTTCATTTTTTAATTTTTTACTTAAATTACTAAAACAATGGGAAACAAACTTTTTTAACTTTTGACTTCCTATTGCCTTTTAAAGGGACACCCTACATATTCTAGAACAAAAAAAAAGAATTTCCCGTCGGAACTACCCCATTTGATTAAATATTTATTTAAGAAACGAGTGGGCCACTTCAAGATGTTAAGTAAAATTTTTTTTTTTTATAAGGTACACATTCTACCCCCACAAGCATTTTGTTTTCAACCCACCCTAGTTGTCAGATGTCAAATAAAATGTCAAATAATAGGTGAATTCCTTTTAAAATTCCCAGACAAATTTCCCCTTGTTTTCTAATTTGAAAAAATTGCAGGAGCTATTTAACTTTTAAATCCGCCAATCATAGCGCAGTATTATCGATTTGTAATCTGGATTATTATTATTAAAATAAATTGGGCTCATCCGTTAGAGCAAAAATCTAAAAAAATCCTTATTTCAATTTTTAAAATTTATTAAAACAACTCTAAACTATATCAAACAATTATTTAAAAATATTTTTTTGTATCTTTACTGTTTTTTTAAATCTTCATATATACAAGAGCGTTTTTTTTAAATATCGCCAAAACAAAAAGTGATTGACAAAATGATTGTAAATTATGGAAAAACAAGCAGACCCCGAGCGATCTATAGAGTGAGCTGAAAACAGAGCGCGGTAAATAATTTGAATTTTCAATAATCGCAAGTTTTAAAATAACAACAGTATTAAAAAAATATTAAAAAAAAAACCCTGGATTCGCTACTGGTTTACAAATATAATATAATTAGTATAATACCATTGTACTACCTAATCAATAATTTAATTAACCAATAATTTAAATTAAGTTTGTATTATACATGGAATTAAATATTCCCACTTACGTATAATACCATAAATACTTTAAGTGGAACGAAATTACATGTTAATTTCTTCTTTCTTTACGATTAATCAATGTAATACCACAGTAAAAACAATAAAAAAACTAAAACATTATACAAATTACTTCCCATGTCGCATATTTATTTTATAAGTTATTTCAATTTTAATATTAAAAAGAATTATTTGATTTAAGTTTAAAAGACGTTACATTTAGAACTATTTTAATTTAGTAACTTTACAATAAAAAAGTTTTACAGTACTTTTGCATAAAAGAATATGAATTTTTAAAATGAAAACTGAAAATTCTTATAAATGGATAATAATAAAGTTTTATAAAATATAGATCGAAATGCGCCTAGAGCAAAGTATTATTATTCTGCGTTAACTTTGTTGAAGTCATTATTACTGTTTTAACATATTTTATTATTTATTAAAAAACAAATTCTTAGGAAACAAACAAAAACATTTAAAATTGACGTGCAAGATAATTTTTATTTATTTTGGATAAAGTGCAAAATAGTAATTTGTTCCAGGTTAAAAAAAATATATAAAATTAATTCTTTCAAAATTAAAATTATATCTAGTTTTTGCTCCCCCATACAAAAATTACCCTAGCGAAATTAACGGTTACTGATAATTCAAAAATTGTCTAAAACAACATATTATTTCATATGATATATATATATAGGAATTAAAAAAATGTTTTTCAAGCACTCGGCCTTTTTTGTTCTTATATTTGAGTCGTGTAGAATGAAAAGCAGTCATGTCCTTTATAGTGCTAACTACAATATTAATTAATACCTAAGCTTGTCAAAGGACAAAATATAGTTTTATTATTATAAACAATAAAATGATATTTTGTCCTTTATTTTTTTAATTGGATATAGTGCATTTTAGCATTGAAGGGCAGTGTTTTCATGATGAATAAACTACCACTTTATGGTACGCAGTGTTGTCATTAATTAAAATATGTATCCCCTGTATATTTTTAAATAAGGAAGGTAGATTTTTTTAACAATTTGTATCTGTATATACAGGGTGTCCGTTTTTTTTGGGTTAAGCATGGGTATCTTCCTTATCTTAGTTTTAAAAGAAAGCAAATAGATTTTGTCAGATTTGAGTTTGCCTTGAAATAGTGCCTTAATTAGAAAATGCTACCTAAAACCGCTTGACAAAAAAAAAATTACAAATACTTATTTTTTAACGATATCACGAAAACTAAAAAGTTAAGTCTATTTTAAGATCATTAATCGGTATAAAAATACGCAACTTTTTCCCAATTTTACCAACTTTGTATAAAACCCATGCTTAGTTTCGAAAACCGACACCCTGTATATAATATAAATATTAAATTTATTATGTTAAAATAAAACAAGGGTTTCGATTTTTGTTAAGTATAAATAAAATATTTTTTTAAAGTTTTTAACCAAATCTAAAGTCGATTCTCCGCCGTGTTGTATATACTATTTTTTTCAAGCGTTTAATATTTCTGTACTTACCTCGTACATTGAGATTCTCGAGTTTGTAAGTGGTTATGTGTATGAATTACCTGTATTTTTTAGTTATCTGCACTGATTTCGAGCAAACTGGATTTTAAAAGTGAAGTTTAATATATGCTTATGAGTGTAATATGATAATTTTTATACGCTTGATAAAAATAGTTTATTATAAACCAGGTAGAAAAAGCAAATATTATCACCGAGCGTACATTTTACTGCCAAAGCAGTAGATTGTGTTTAATTAAATTATTTATTAATATTCTGTCACATCATTTTTAAGTTAGAACAATCTAACATGATGATATTTTAACTTTATTTTTGTACTGAGTTTAATATTAATTAGTATTAAGTAACTTTTGAACTAGTACTAATACACAGTAAAAAAAATTGCCCGTGTAATTTTTTTAGTGTAGGGGTAAAAATATTAGAGTTGATTTGTAAGTGTAAAAGTTACACTACAAAATACACTAGGTAGCATTTAGTGCTTATTAACTTTATTAAACACATTTAAAGAATATATATTATTATTCATTGGTACATTCACACTATTTATTATTAAAATAAATCAAAAGGGTACAAAAACTTAATGCGAGTGTTTATTACCCGTTAATGTGTTAAATAGTGACAAAATGTACACTACAGTGCATGCCAATTTGTTTGTCTGTTTTGATGTTACTAAGAGCCCTTTTTTTACACTACTAGTGCACATTATATCACAATTAAAGTTAAATTACACCAATAGTGGCAAAATAGACTGAAAAAACTGGTAATAAGTGAAATGCGTTTTAAAATGTTTGGTTGGTACCTATCTACCTACGCAGTGCATATCCGGAGATACCGCGTTGTGGAAGTGTGGCATTTTTGTTCAGTTAGATTTTAATTACGGCGAATCCATAAGAGGACATTCTTATTTTTTGGTAAGTATTATACTTTCTTTTTCTTTAAGCCTTAATACTCAATAAATACCAATATGTTAAAAGGATGTCCATACCCGACCTATATTATATATCAATAATTTACGGCAGTAGGTCGGGTACTTGTAACATTAATAATATAAATACATACACACGTGATTTACTTTTTATTTTCAAGCGTAATGGTTGTTATATTAACCTATACCTACTTTTTTATTAATATTATGGAAAATTTGTACACGTGTGGTAAATCCCCGACATACAGCCGCCTGACGCCACTCTACCAATGGGATCATCAATTTTTTATAACAGAAAAATGGATTACTGATTAATTCTCAAGGTAATTCATTGCTTACAAGTTTAAAGCCAGTAAAACATTGCATTGATCTAAAACTTTTACGTTTTAAGGAACCATTTTGCTTAAGCCAGCCATACGAATCAAATATAAAATTATATTTAAAAAGGCACCGATTTTGATAATTGTCATAGATTTTTGTTCCAAGTAAATGTTTCTCTTTATTTACCATTTCGTTTTATTCACTACCACAAATAGGTTTTACTCAAATAATAGTGTTAAATTATACTAGAAGTTTGCACTAAAAGAGTAAAAGTACCTTTCTAAAATTAGAACTTTTCCAAAGTAGTGTTAATTTATACTGAACTAAAGGAAGTGTAGAAGTACACGATTTTAGGTAAATTAACACTGTTTAATACAGTGTAAAATTACTTTATCCTCAGTGCTAAATCAAGTGTAAAATCATACTTGCTTACTTGGGGAAAATTACACTACAAATTAACTCTAATTGTAGTGTTATAAAACAACACTATTTAGTGTGGACCTGTGTGAGCTCTAATCAGTGTTGCTTATAGTTGATTTTTTTTACTATGTATAGTCTTTCTGGTGTTATAATATACAAATTATTGTACGTTTGAAAAAAAACAATAACAATTGTATAACTTCATTGAAATCTTGACGCGGCTTTGCGAAATATCAATGGATCATCTCGTAAACTATTAATTTAACGTAAATTTTGGTAATTATAAATTTTGTTTACCGGAAAAATTTGCATAAAAATGCTTCCTTATAAATTTGCTGCCGGCCGGTACGGTTTCGGTTGGGACTTTGCAGACAAAGTATACATAAAATTTCAAAAACAATCTTAGCTGGAATGTGACCATATTGGTTTATTCTTTTCATAAAAATTATTTCAGTTAAAATCCTTAAAAATTAAAATTAATTGGTTTCAATTTTGTTATATAATTTTGGTGTTTAAACTTTCTATTATTATTATTAATTATATTACAAGGAATTAATACCAAAAAATGCCATGTCTACATATGCAAACTAAGCGGTTTAATGGTTTTTTATGTTTTATAGGCAAATATAAATTAATATTAATAAAATGTACATTTTGAATTTACATTTCTATCAAGCCTAAATTTTGCAAAACTTTTACCATAATATACTGGCCGCAAGTGAAATCCGAACACCCCGAAAGAATTATTTTATTAAAATGAAATTTTGGTGAAATATTGGTGGCATCGACCCTAACAAACGATTAAAATTTCATATGCTTCGGACAAAGTTTACAATTTTTTTTTTAAATTATGTTTTTAAGATGTGAAAAAGAAATTAAAGTTTTTTTCAAACTTACAGGTATCAATTACTGTAAAAATGTTTGTTTTGTGCTTAGTTTATTTCAATCATGCCTCGCAGGCGACAGCAACCAAATTTTTCACAATTAACCCCATTTGAAAGGGGTCGTATTGTAGGGCAGAGAGAACGTGGTGCTTCATATCGTGAAATCGCTGCAGCTATGGGGCGCAGCGTAGCTACCGTGATGGCAGCATGGCGAGCGTAGTCTGAAGGAGGGCGAACACAACGAGCTAGAGGCACAGGAGCTTCCAGAAGAACTACCCCGCGGCAAGATCGTCTGCTTCAATTAATGGCCCTAAGAGACAGGCTGAGGTCTACTCGGTCGGTTGCTGATGCTTGGTTTGGAATAGTAGGAAGGCCCATTCGGCTTAGGACCGTTTACCACAGGTTACGCTCAATGGGCCTAACTTCTTACCGTCCGCGTCTCGTCCTCCCCTTAACCCCTCAACACCGTCGTCAACGTCTGGACTGGAGCAATGAACGCAGGAACTGGGGCAATGAATGGCATCACATTGCTTTTTCTGACGAATCAAGATTCTGTTTGGGCGGTCATGATGGTAGAGGGCGAGTCAGGCGACGACGAGGAGAACGGCGTCATCTCGAGTTTGCTGTTGAGCGTCACGTCCACCGTACCATCGGACTTATGGTTTGGGGGGCTATTGCTTTTGGTAGCAAATCTCCTCTAATCATAGTTCGTGGCACAATGACAGCCGTGCGTTATGTCAATGAGGTGCTAAGGCCCGTTGTTCTTCCATATGTAAGGGGGCTTGAAGATGGTGTTTTTCAGCAAGATAACGCCCGGCCCCATATTGCGCAAACATCTATGAGGTTCTTAGAGGAGGAGCATATCCCCACCTTACCTTGGCCACCTCGGTCGCCAGATTTATCGCCCATCGAAAAAGTGTGGGATTGGATGGGTATCCATATTCGGAATTTGCCGCAGCCCCCGACCACTTTGGATGAACTTCGTCATGCAGTTGAAGATGCTTGGAATGCTGTACCCCTAGAGTACATCAACAATCAAATTGATAGCATCCCTCGTCGACTGCAGGAGTGCATTCGCCTACAAGGCGGTCCCACAAATTATTAGGTTTTTTTTTAAATATGTTTAGTTTTTTATTGTTTTTGCTTATTTTACCTTAGTTAAGTATTATACTGTCTTTGTACAAAATTTTGTTAATAAAACTTGCTTTTTTCGGGGTGTTCGGATTTCGCTTGCGGCCAGTATATATTAATATGCCAATTATAATTAATAAATGGGTATGTCTAGTATCATAGTATGTAAAGTAAAGTTAATAAAAATATAATATGTATTTAATAAAATATTAAGTTTACAAATTGAATTGGTGATTTATTACTAATAATACATAAATTTCTCCATTAAAATAAAGCTTACCATTAACATAATTGATTAATTAATATTAGTTTGTAATTTAAATACTTTAATGTCTTTTTATAATTATGTATACCTACGTTTATATGCCTAACTTGGTTAATTAGTTAAGTCTTAAGTAGTTTCGAATAACAGATGAGAACTTGTGTTGTAGTTCGCAGTTTTTTTGTGAAATTTTAGTTACCTCAAAATCCAATATAAATATAATAAATTTGTTCACCTCCAAAACTTAAATAAAACACTAAACATTGTCTCTACTAGCACATATTCTTTAAGATGGTACTGTATATAATTTTTTTAAGTTCTTCTTCTAGAAGCAGGCATAGAAGAACCCCCAAATATTCTTTAAGATGGTACTATATATAATTTTTTTAGGTTCTTCTTCTGGAAGCAGGCATAGAAGAACCCCAAGTTGCAGATGTACCGGCTTTTGCACCATCCCTGCGTCGCTCCCTGATAGATTGGGAATTTCAAACTCAACCCCAAAGAACCAACTGTCGAGCACGTCGTAACCAGCGATGCATTTGGCCCCGTGGACGCGTCATGGGCGGCACATCAACCATAAACTACATGATCTATCTTAGAGGAGCGCCTGAAGACTACAATGACTGGGCTGCAATGGGGAATCCAGGATGGAGCTACGATGAGGTAAGTAAATAAACAATTTTCAGTCAAGATTGTTCTATATATGTCATACGCATCGAGATAATTTTACGAAATTGACTGATAATCCCAATAGGACATTTTTGTGCCAATGTTGTTTGCTCGCTTTGTCACACTGTTTAAAATATCTGTGGTGTAAAAAGTAATCTTAAAATGGTGTCAAAATCCAACACCAAGTGGTGTTAATATAACACCATGAATTATGGTTGAAAATGTGTACCGATCGTGGCAAAGGCGGTGTGGATCACGTGATGTTCTTAAATATCGCCTCTGTTGACTTTCATGAAGAATATATAAACTCAGGTAATCCTTTGCTTTGGTGTGACACTACAAGTTGTTCGATACTAAAGAGACCTTAAATAGGTGGAAACAGCTGTCAATACTTCTCTAGCGAGTTAAAGGTTCCATTTTCTGGAATAATACCACTGGTAATATACTACACAGTAAAAAATTTCTGGTAAAAAACAACACCAAAAGTGGTCTATATAGGTCCACACTAGAAATGGTATATCTAACCACATACAATTTGGTAAATTTTACCCTTTTTAATTGGTTAAAAATCTACACGTACTATTCGTACAAAAAACTCGTAACAGTGTAAAAATCATCAAATATAATACACTCTTAGGGGTAAAAGCAACACGCAATATTGGTAAAAGAACTCCATTCAAGAGTAGAATGCTCAATTTGGTGTAATTTACTACACATTTTGGTGTTACTTGTAGGTGTTAAAAATGGTGGGTGTTTTAATATTAAACACAGCATGTAATGTAAAATAAAGTATATTTTATATTACTTACAAACTATTAGATATGAATACAAATAGGCTTTGGCATAAAATTAAAGAAAAATGATTAACACTACTTAGGTGTATTCTTATACCCAAGAAGTATTAATAATTTTTTTATTTGAATGAAAAGTAGTACTTAATATTTTAAGTTTTTTCCAGTTTGTGCAAAACCATATTTAGCTTATATAAGTTAAATATGATTTTTCACTAGCTCAAAAAACTTAAAATTTTACTAAATTTCATATTTCACTTATCACAGGTAAAAAAACATGTTATATCACAAACATAAGTTGCATCCACTGTCACATTGCACCACTTTACTCGACCACTGAATTTTAATTTAAAAACCATGGTCTTAAAATAGGTACACTACCATCAACTGCACTCGGAATACTGATCTCTTCCTTGCCGTTAACGAATGGTGATGACTACGTGACTTTTTTTTACCCCAATGTGTGTAGCTGTCAACAAATAATAGTGTCAAATGTACACTGCGTCGAGTTTATCTTTAAATTAACACTAGATTGACACGGTGCTGTGTAAAATAAATTTAAATTAACACGAATGAATTTTACCACAATTTAAAATAAACACTTAATATTTTTGACCAATTTTAGTGTATAAATTAACACCAAATGATTTTACCACTCCATTTGGTAACTTTACACCGAAATATTTTTTACTGTGTAGTAATGTGTCAAGGAACCTGTTTCATTTTTTTTCCATTTTTCTGTGTAGAATGATTTAATTTGTCCACAAACACATAATATTTAACACTGAAAAGGAGTTCAATTTACACCAAGTAAAATTTATTTTAATACTGTGTGATAGTTAAATTAACACCATTTTATTATTTGAATTTACACCGGACCAACGAACCTTATTTAACACCATTTTGGTTTGTATCGATATAGACCATGTTTGGTGTTAATTTGGTGTTAAAATGGTCATGAAATTTTGAAAAGTGCAGCTTCTCCTATTTAAGGTTCTCGTCATTTTTGTTTGACATTTAGAAAAGGGACCAAGCGCCTAAAACTTTTTCTGGGGTAAAATAACTCATTTTTAATGCTGCTCAAAAAATTAAGGATTTGGAAACCCTCTTAATCCTTTTGAGAAAATTTCCAAATGATGATCAACTTTTTGAGCATTATTAAATAGCTATTTGTGTATTAAGAGCGAAAAGTGATACATTGCCGCTCTGAGCGAGAAGTTTGACGCGCGGCTATCTCGCGAGAGCTGCAATGTCACTTTTGCGCTAAAATTACACACAGGATTTTTTCTTCAACCGGTGTTTCTATGCTTGGTAAAAATTATTATTATTATTTATAACCTCAAATTTGACGTTGGTGTCAAAATTCGCAAATTTAATAAACGTTTCTTTATTATGGTTTTCATGGTAACTAAGCGAGCGACAAAATAACTTTGTCGCTCAAAAATAATTTTGGGTAAATATAAAGGGTTTTCCAATAAGAGCGGGTCGATGTTAAAATTAAATAAAACAAGCTGTGTGTGAGGAATCAACAAAATTGTATTTTTATTTGAAAGGCCTATGTATGCCATTATTTATGGAATATGACATCGTTCAAATGTCCTCCGCGGCTTCTCACGGTGGCACGAATTCGAGTGGTCCAATTTTCAATGAGTCTGCCACATAGATCCGGCTGAATTTCAGCGATTGCCTGGGTTATGTTAGTTTTAAGCGCATCGGTGAATTGCGGCTTATTGGCATAGACCTGCAGGTGACACATGTGACTTTAGAAAACCCCACAAAAAGAAGTCCAGCGGAGTTAAATCGCACGATCTTGGGGGCCAATTAATGTCACCTCTGCGGGAGATAACCATACCATCAAACAGTTCACGCAGAAGGTTCATAGTGGCGTCCGCTGTGTGGCACGTAGCGCCGTCCTGCTGGAACCACATGTCGTTTACGTCCATAGCGAGTGCAGGCCCAAGTCCTTACGCAATATTCACCAAGTTGAAGTCTGCGAAAGGCCAAGTTCTTGTGCACGGCGAGGAATTGACTGCCTCGGGTTCTCCTGCACACTTTCACGAACAACGGCGATGTTCTCGTCCGATCTGACGTTTCTTTGGCGTAAGGGTGATGGCTGATTGTTTAATGAACCGGTGGTTTCGAGTTTATTCACCAAACGTTGGAGAGTCGACTTTGAAGGGCCACCGCGTCTGCCGTAAAATGGGCGCAATGTGCGCTAAGTTTTCACTAACGAACACTCATTTTGATAATAAAGTTTTATCATTTGGACGTGCTGCTCAATCATGTAACTTGCCATGGTGATTTGGCATTATTGACTGAATAATTAACAACGGGTTAAACAAATGTCGCCAAAATAACATGGCCGACATAGCCCGCCAACTTCGACCCGCCCCAATTGGAAAATGATAACACCCTTAAATGATTACATAACGATAAACAAAATGATGACTTCCTAAATAACATAGTGGAACAAACAAGGAAATAGTCATAACTATTGTATTTAAGCTAAACTTTCTTCAAAATTTCTTATGAGCTTTGTTCTAAAATCGACCCTTCCAAACAGCGTTTAGATAATTTTGGTACTGTTTTATTGATTTTAGCTGTTTATTATTTATTGTTATCTTCATTTTTAGCCAGTTTGTCATAATTTGTTCTATATCCATGTTAGCTTGACATAATTAAATCATATCAAGCAGTATAATATTATCTTAAGGTTGTCATCATCCTACCTATCTTGTTTTTGGTTACTGATATTTTTTTAATTAGCTTGCCATCATCTTATGTTCATTGTAAGATAATCATCATTTTAGCTTTTTGTCATTTTAACTTATTATTATTAGAATCCCTTTAATGCCTTTGAAGGAATACCATTAATTATATATCTTATATTTGTTTTAGATTGTTATTTTATATTGTTGTAGGCAAATTAAAACAAGTAATTTTTAATTTTTAAAATACCTACCTGATATATTACAAATATAATATTATATATTTTTTCTATTTTAGGTATTGCCATATTTTTTGAAGAGCGAGGATAACAGAAACATATATAATGTTGACAAAGAATACCAAGGAACCGTAAGTCAACAATATCATGCCAGCAATGGAGAATGGACTGTAGAATATTACCCTTATCAAGACTCAAACACATTGCTATCTTTAGAAGCGTGGAAAGAAATGGGTTTAGACATATTTGATCAAAATGAACCTAGACAGCTGGGTGCTATGTTACTGCAACATTCTTCAAGGGATGGGGTTAGATTAAGTACTAATATGGCATTTGTAGAACCAGTTAGATATCAGAGAAAGAATTTAAGGGTTATATCGCAAGCTTATGTTACAAGAATACTTATAAATCCAGTTACAAAGGAGGCATATGGGGTGGAATATGTACATAACAACAGATTGGTGCAAGCAATGGCTGTGCGGGAGGTTATTTTATCTGCTGGTGTTATAAATTCTCCTAAAATTCTTATGTTAAGTGGAATAGGTCCAAAACAAGACCTAGAAGACCTTAACATAACGGTAGTACAGCATTTACCAGGTGTTGGAAGAAATCTACACGACCATACAACCATAGATGGTCTTATGATAGCACTTTCAAACCTAACAGCGACCACAGTACAGACAGAACAACAAAATCGTGACATATTTAATTACGTTGACACCCACAGAGGTCCAATGTCATCTACAGGACCACTACAAATAAACTCTTTTGTTAAAACGTCTCTTGAAACAAACCCCAATAGAGCTGATATACAGTATTCTTTGGACTCTTCAGATGTTGGTAATTTTTATTCAGACCCTATTTTAACGGATGAAGCCAATGTTTTACCGTTAGCTTACTATAACGGTCTTACTATAAGACCTGTGCTTTTAGCACCGAAAAGTCGTGGTTGGATTACACTAAACACAACTCATCCAGTCTTTGGACCACCTTTAATATACCCCAATACTTTTGTAGAACAAGAAGATGTTCTTCGTATGTTAGAAGGAATTCGCATTGGTTTACGTTTTGGTAACACCAAAGTGTTTCAAAATGTGGGTGCTCAGATAGTCGCCAACGAATTACCAGCGTGTTCTCAGTTTACGTTTGGCACAGATGAATATTTTGTTTGTATTATGGAGCAATATACAACAACCCTATACCACCCAGTTGGTACTTGTAAAATGGGTCCTGGTAAAGACCATTTAGCCGTAGTGGATCCAGAGTTAAGAGTTTATGGTATTAAGAATTTAAGAGTTATTGATTCATCTATAATGCCTGTCACACCAAGAGCTAATACTAATACTGCAACCATTATGATTGCTGAGAAAGGGTCTGATTTTATTAAAATTAAATGGAATAATGAGGGTGTACATAATAAACATGGAGATCAAGGGCAAAGTATAGATGAGAGTCTTAATTATGTTGCTTCAACAAAACATAACCATTTTACTACAAAATATTCTTTGAAAAGTATATTTGGAAGGTTTTTTAAATCAATAATTTAGATTAACCTGTTTTAAAATAAATAAGAGGCTAAGATGGTCATATGAAACCGGCTTATTATGAAACCATTCTCTAAATGTTAGGCTAGCAAACATCTATTGATTTTTATTTATAAGCAGTTTTGCAAAGTGGGGAACATTACTTATTTGTACATTATGTTTAAAATTTGGACTCAAAAACTTTTTATTTTTCTTTAAGGTTATGTTTAGGTTGTTGAATTTTGAATAGATAAAAACTGGTGATGCCAGTGATGCTTAGTTATTGTCGATATTACTAAAAAATGGTAAAATATAAAAAGGGTTCCATATTACCATCCGCTCTTCTAATAAATTAATTTTATAAGTTTTATGTTTCCTCTCGTATATAAGGGTTATTTTAATATTGTTGAAAAGTATCTAGGCAATAGGTAGGTAGTATATGATTTTATAATTAAAATGTGTGTTACCAATTAACTAGTAGCTTAGGTTATTTTAAGGAGCTTTTGTATGTAACTGCAAAAGTACCTAATACAATAAAAATAAATATATATTAAAATTATATAAAAAAGTCGACAAGAGTCGTAAATAAAAAACATCATCGGTTAAATATTTTTAAGGCATATACAATGCAAAAAAGTAACAGATATCTCTCAGTTTTGGGTAGGCAAGAGTAAAATTTATTGTAAGACTTTTTAAACTATTCAAAATATCATTTTAGGTCTCGCGTCTCTCGCGTCTCTAAACTTTGTATATTCATATATATTATATATGTTTATCTATAATAAAGATTATGGTTGTTATAGTGGTGTGCATTATTTACCTACCTAAGAATAAAGTTATATTTTATTTTTTCTATTGGTGGTGTTCCATTTCTCTTGGTGAGGATTGGCGTCACATCCCTCAACAGTTGTTGGATCCTTTCTCTGTATTTACTGTAATGTACTTAACTGTACTGGATTACAATTACAAATCTTAGCAAAAAAATGCATGCTTGTTTAAAAATACAAAATATGCACGAACTATAGAAAAATGCATTTGCATACAATTTAAATATAGTAATAAGTTGTTTATGTTATTTTAAACATTTCATGAAGATTCCTAAAAAATTGCCAACCACCAAAACTAGGTTTTAATATAAAAACGTTAAGCAAAAAGTGCTTTTATTAAACAAAAAAAAATGGTTCCTACCTCCATTGGTTTCGGCTGGCACCTCTGGGACGACTTATTTTTTTTGGGCTTTCATTTGGATTGGGAAAAAGTGGAGAAGTAGAGAGACAGCTTTATCCTTCTTGGCTGCATAAGATCCCCTGTCCTTGACTCTGAACTTGGGTCACCATTCAAAAAAATGTATGTTTAGTTCCTTATAAAATCCTTCAGAAATTGCGACTTTCTTGGCTGCAAGGGCCTCTTTGAACATCGCGACGTCCACGAGTCCTCTAGATACGCAGTATTTTGCATTACCTTTTGACAAAAGGCTTTTTTATGATACCCACTCATAGTCCTTGAGGTACTTAAAAAGTATCCTGGGGAGATAAAGATTAAGGACTTTCATTAGCTTACAAGATCTTCAGCTAAAGTGATTCACTTATCCTACTTTAAAAAAAAATTAAGCAACATTTCTTTTATCACAAAAAAAAATAATTGTATAGCGTTTATCAAAAAGGAAGCAAGCGCCAAAAACTTTTGTAAAACTGAGGTAAACAAAATTATTTGCAAAATAACTCATTTTTAATGCTGCTCAAAAAATTAATAATGATTTGGGAAGCCTCTCAATACTTTTGAGAAAAGTTCCAAAGGATTATCAACCTTTTGAGCATTATTAAAAATTAGTTATTTTTCAAACAATTTTACTAAGCCCAGAAAGACTTTTTTGTGCTTGGTACCTTTTCGATAAGCGTTATCAAATTGTCCTAAAACTTTTTTAAAATTAACATTACTGTAAAAGCTATATAAATAAGTTAAATTAAATTAATTTAAACCCCTCATACTAAGTACTGTCCTAACTGATGTTTTGCAGTCTAAAAAGTTGAAATCCATTGTTTGTTGGCGTGGAAAGGACATGAAATTAGAATTTACATACATTTCGCGATTCATTGATAAAAGTTTTAATCACGAGGAAAGCTTGAAAACTAATTAATGTTGCAATTGCCGAGGATAAACAAGTTACATACAAGAGGGATTATTTACGAAAATGTGTACACTATTAGTTGGGTTATTTCTCTAGTCTATCATTGTTATTGTTTCATTTTCGCCGAACTGCCAGTTTACAGAGAACCTATTTCTATTTCTCCCCATTGCAACTTATTTATGGCTGTTTTGGTTTTGACGTTAACGCAGCCGGTTTGTGCAATTTGTTTAGACCGTATTTTATCCCTTTTTATTTGACATCTGTTGGCTGCTTACGCACATTGATCCAGATTGAAATTTTAAGTAGACAAAATTCCAACACGGTATTTAAATTTTAAATAATATTATTAAATATAAAAAACATATTTTATAATAATTATTGTGACTTAAATAGTATAAATGTGGCTTTGTCACAGAACGTCTTGATTCCATATCTGCCATTTCAAATAAATTAAGTTAAATACCATTAACAAATACACAAAAACTATCTTTTTTCGGGTCTGTCGCTTGTCAAGCTTGTCCTGCATCAGACCGGTAATCACCTATGGTTGCCCGGTATGGTGCAGTGCATCTAACACTCAATACGTAGCTTTGCAGCTACTACAAAATAAAGCGCTTCGGCACATCACCAACTCGGGTTGATATACCCCTATTGACTAACAGCACGAAACAGCAAGCCTGCCTTATCTAAAAGAGTATGTCATGGATCAGGCAAATAAATTTTAGATCAAGAAACTACACCTTCACCCGTTAACACGCCATAAAACCACGCTCAGATAACACCACAATGCGCGCTATAAACCTGGCATGATCTATGGCAGACTGCCGATATTTCGCGACCCCCCGGTGCATCACTGACACCGCGGTAGCTTAACCTTCAGAACAATACGCGACGTGGGAGATATTCGTTGATTGAGGGCTCTAGGGTCCTCGACCTCCAGGATTATTTCCACACAGAAAAAACTCTAGCATAGCATGAATGGGTGAGCCATTAAACCAATGGGATCTTGTAATCCGTATTCCTGAATAACAGTTCCTATAATACCAATAGGTAGTTAGCACTTGGTTTATAATCATTTACTGTTTTTAAATTAACAGCAAAAGTTATCGCTCCTAAATCTATTGATATTCATATTGAAATTTATTTGTTAGAATGGTAGAATGTTATTGCATTAAATACTAATTTGATTTATTTAATAACGTTACTATTGTATGTATACTATGTATACATTTAACGCAATAAATTCTTTGACATTTAGGCAAAATATTTCCCTATTTTGGTTTGATAGTAATTAATTGATCAAATAACAATTTAGATTGCTTTAATTTTAATGCATTCAATGACAGCGCTGTTCTTGGTACTATGTTAGATTTTTTTCTGTGCAACCACTTTCAACATCCCCTTTAAATCCAACCGTAGTACCAAATCCATGGTGCTGCAGGTCTTTCTCTCCACTCTATCTCTATCTTTTTGTTTGTTACTATTTTTCCAAATTTTTAAGGGGGTTTTTGAATTATTTTTCCCCCAAAAACATTCTTTTAAACTCCTGACTCTTCAACATTGTTCTTCCTTTATCAAGACTTTCTCTGTCTACCCGGATCAAGCTATCCTCACATTCGCTCTGCGAGAAAAGGCCAGATAAGCTTCATGACTATTACAAAGAGCTTTGTACAAGGGACTAAGACCGTCGGGAGACCGTGCTGTTACCACCCGTACCACGCATCTACACCGCGGAGAGGCTTAAGAGGTGGAACGACACTTCCACGCGCCTCTTTACAGTCGACCCCATCACCACATTGCGGCCTTGTATTATACCCTCTTTTTATTTTATTGTAAACTATTTAATTGAGAAATATAATCTGTGGAAATATATTGATTTGATTGAAGCTTGTCAAGCTGATGACATAACCAATGTGTTATCAGTCAATAAGTCAATAAATTTTGTAAGTAATATTTTAATATTGAATATATTTTTTGTGGTGCTGTTTTAAGCTAAACTTTTTGCATCTTTATTTGTTTTTATGGGCCATTTACCCATGGAGCCTATAGGCATTTAACTCAAACAATAATTTGTTGTTGGCCATAAACGATTAAAAAAAGTAGTAGTAGTAGTAGTAGTAGTAGTCAAAATTAACTATTTAAAAGTAAAAACGACTATTATTAGTAAAAAATGCTGGTACTAATTCAAATAGTAGAATTTTGACTATAAAGGAAGAAATTTAGGTGACAAAGCCAAAAACTTTGGCGAGGTGTAGGTTCAATTTTTTCTTATGAATATTACCAGTAATGGGTCAAGAAAGTTTCTTAGAGAAACTAAGAAAATTGAATATTTACCTTAATGTTTAGCGCGGTTGGGCTAATTCTAGATTCCTTTAGGCCATATTAGTATCTGTGATAAAATTGCTGTGTGCAGTCCCAGTTGCATAGTATGTACCGATTTCGGCAAAGGCCACGTCGTTTGACGGTGTGGATCACCTGATGTTCTTACATCTCGCCTCTGTTGGCTTACCAACCGAGCATATAAGTCCTTTGTTTTGAGTGTGTTCCACTACACCAAGTTGCCCGACACTGATGAGACCCAATATAGGTCGAAACAGCTGTCTGTCGGTATTTGAAGTTGGTGGAACGCACTCAAAACAAAAAACTTTGGCGAGGTGTAGGTTCAATTTTTTCTTATGAATATTACCAGTAATGGGTCAAGAAAGTTTCTTAAAGAAACTAAGAAAATTGAATGTTTAAAATTATAATACATTATTCCATTTTTTTAAGGTATATTCTATGTAAAGGTTCCAGAAAAAAAAATATCATAGTATATTATATATCAAGTTTCATAAACGCCAATATAGACACGAATTTAATTTAGGCACGAGCGAGTACTTAATTAAATTAGTATCTAGAAAAGTTTATAAATGAGTTGCATACTATACTTTTTTTACGACAAATACTTATTATCTAAAAATGATTTAAATTAAATATTTCTATAGAGCGACATCTATAAAACAATAGAGTAACCAACTTGGGAATGTGTAATAATGTTAAATGTCAAATTTGTATGACTAAATCAAAATGTATCCCTTGAAAATGGACCGTTTAATCCGATTAAGTAGTTTTTCAGTAAAAATTAAAAAAAAAATTATTGATACTCCACGGTGGAGTCTCCAGCCGAAATTAACTTAAATATAATTTACTGCCGGCAAAATTAAAAGGTCAGTAGTACAATGTTCATATAAACTTTTTATATATTATCGTTGAGAAATTATTTAATACTTTTGTATTTTTGTATTAAGACTATACAATTATTTTTACATTTAGTATTATTTTACAAGAAGGGCACTTTATTTTATCGATTGTATGACATTTGACAACTGTCAAAAACGAACTTTTTCCCGTGAATAAAAACCTGTTGCTAACTTCAGCCCGTGACTAAAAGGCCATAAAGCAACAACTTTTCAATGTGTATTTAAAAGTGACTTAGTGTCATGTAAACATGTATGATAATGGGCGTTTTAGAGGTGAGTAGAACAAAATGTTTATTACTTTGCTCTTGATTTGCAAATTAAATCGCTGTGTAAGGCCCAAATATTGACCTTTATTTATCCAAAAATGCCCCAATTACTTTATATATACAACTTTATATGTATAAACAATTTATTTTTATGTAATAAAATAATGCTACTCAAACAAATAAATCCCTGCTACTACTCCTTTTGTAATGGTAAATATTGGTGTAAGACATTTATATTAGGTAATTTTTTCAGGCATACGTATCACGTCATCAAATGGGATTCGTTTTGATGATAAACCATTCGGGCTCAGATTTCGAGAAAATTACCTGGAATTAGCACAAGCATGCGATCAATTACCTAAAATAATTATACCTATTAATAAGCAGCTTTCGCTATGAACCAAATTAGGAGCCATCTATTATATTAACAAAATCTCCTAAAGAAAGTCACATATTACAGTTCACCACTGTTTGGCTCATAATTATAAATATAAGCCTTAGTGGGCAATAAAGTCAAAAGCCAAAGTCATATTTTTCAGCTGTTTTACTTTATATGAAAGGTATTTAGGACAGAACATAATGGAATAAAATGTTTAGATATTTTAAATAAAATATCAACTTTATTTTGTTAAATTATTTGTACATTAGTTACACTAATCACGGCGTACAAAACCCTATTTTGTTTTATGCAGTAAAGTTTAAACAAAAGAAAGTTTATATTTATATAAATTAACTATAAAAATAACTTTATGATAAAGGTTAACTCCGTTCCTACCCCTAACCCGCACAAGCCATTCAGTTGGCTTATGGGACATCTTAGTTTGGATGTAAGGGTGGAACTAAAAGAGCACTTTATAAACTTTATAAACTTTATAAACTAACTAATTTATGACTTTATTGTAGACGATGTTTTAAGTACAATAAATGTTTTAAATTTTACATATATGAGGTGATATATATATAATATATTATATTATATTATTATTATATTACAAATAAAATACATTATTACATTATTATAAAGCACCTACTGCAGGGTGACACCTGGGACTATAAATATAGTAGTGGGTATACCATACCCATTTAAATAACACTGGTTTACAGCCAAAATGTACATTCGACGTCACTATTTTTGGCCTGCTAAACTCAAAAATCACATTACCAAAAAATGTATGTAATAATTTCAAGATTTGAATTTTTCTTTCATTTGTTTTTAGAATGCAGCTTTACAATTTGGGATATATCTTGGACAGGTTAGAAACGGCTCACCTGGTTACAAAAGGTGTCAATCTAAGCAACTCTTTTAATGCCTAAGTCGATTATTTTAAGTGCAATGGGCTAGAATATTGAGAAAAGTTTTTGTTAGAAAATAAGAATGCAGCATTTACCTTTTTGCCAAGAACGAATAAAAATCATCAAAATAAGACCATTTTCGAATTATCCACAAAGAAAAATTCAACTATTTGTTTATTTTTGGACTTTGGACTTTTGGTAAAGTGTAGTTTAATGCAATTAATTTACAATCCAATTAAAGTAAAAAGTGTTTTTCGTTGGTATATTAATATAATGACTGAGATATTTTTTGTTTAAATTTTGATTTAAACAAATGTTAATGCATTTAATATGGCAATTTCTTAGGTTGATAAAACTATTTTCATTTATTTTATTTTGTCAATTAACAAAGTAGGCGAAAAATCAAGATGTTATCGTCTTCTATTTAACTTATTAAAACTTATCTTTGAATTTAATAATCGTCGAAGATTGACTAAAGAATAATGCAAAATATGGTATTTGTTCTATTCTCTACAGTACAATTTTGGTCAAATATCTGATTTAAATATATCCCTGAGAATCCATTCAGTGGATTAAAACTTTTTTTTTTGAAAAATCTCATTAAGCAGAGTGACGATATGGTCGAAGATTTCACCAAGAAATGCAGTCCGTGAAGTCACGCTATCAAAGATGAACGAATGGTGGCAAATTATATTTGGTTCCTCATAAAAGAAAATCAGATACAGAAAAAGTAAATAAGGTAAAAGTCCAAAAATGGTATAAAAGATAAGTGTTATTGGGTAAAATTATTTTATATTTTGACACTCTGGCTTATGTAACACAACACAATAAGAAAAAAGCCTATTGGTAACAGCGACATCACACTGTGAAATTCAAAATTTTAACAAAAAAAACTAGTTATTAGTGATTAAACAACAAAAAACTATTTTCTTAAAATGTATTGTAAATTAATTGCATATTACTACAATACACTGATAAGTTAAAAGTCCAAAAATAAACTAATAATTGAAGTTTGGTACCTGTACATAAACTGTGATAACTTTTTCATTAATCCATAGATTTTTTTCGTAAATACCTTTTCATCGTAAAAGTGCAAACTATGTAGATAATGCGAATATTTCAATGATTTTAATCCATTCTTATTAAAAAGATAAATGAATTGTTTTCAATAGAATATGTAGAATAAAATAGAATAGTTTATTGCCATCAAAAAAATGTTACATGACTAGTCAAAAATTTCAAGTTACAATAAATTAAAAACATAATAGTTAGGTATAATAAATAATCAATAAGTAAACAGAGTGTATATACAAAATAAAATCAATTAATACAATTAATTCATAACACTATAAACAATTGCACTTAATCCAGTCAATTGGGCATTATCGGCAACAACCTTCCGCAACAAAAAATTGTATTATTTTTAAGTTCAGCAGGCCAAAATACATTAGAAAAAATAGTAGCACCGAATTTACTTTTTTTTAATTAATTTGTATACCAGTTTAATTAGAAAGATTTCAATTGGTTATTAAATTTTAAGTGTTTTTGGGTAAACGTCAATTTTATAAAAAATCCTTGTAAAACCGAAAAACAGTTACATTGCATCAGGAGATAATCTACTTTGAACAAATGGTGTAATCTACCATTCATCTTAAAAAATTATGAAAAATTACTTCATCTGTATAAATAATTACAATTACAAATAATTCAACACAATGTGAATTGTACAAATTAATTAAGCAATAATTATATAACAAAAAATAGAAAATAACAAATAAAAAATAAAAAATAAATTTGTAACTACTCTACTTCATGTTTTCATTGATGTTTCTGCTGATGCCCATCTCATATAAATAAATCTAATTTCTTAGATATTAAAAGTCAATATTAAACAAATCCTGATGACGCGTAGGACCTTCGTATCTATTTCCCCCTCCCAACCACTGGTTTTTTATTAAATCCGACGCTTTTTCAGCAATCATTATCGTTGGAGCATTAGTATTGCCCCTAACAATTTTAGGCATAATTGAAGCATCCACAACCCTTAGATTCTTTATACCATACACCCTTAATTTAGGATCCACGACAGCCTCGTTGTCCGATTTAGGCCCCATTTTACATGTCCCCACTGGATGATAGATTGTAGTTGTGTAAGATTGGGCTATACAAGCCCAGTAATCATCAGAACCGAATGGTATATGGCGGCAAGCCGGTAGGGGTGTGGTGGCCAGGCGAGCCCCTAAATGTTGCATTGTATGAGTGCTTAGGAGGTTTAAGGACTGTTTTACACCTTCAACAATACGTAGAAGATCTATTTCTTCGTTAAATGTGTTAGGGTGAATTAATGGGGCGCCGTATATAGGATCTGAATCGTTTAGTCTAACAACGCCTCTACTTTTGGGGCTGAGTAATATAGGGCGTGCCATAAGACCTGTATAGTAAGCTAGAGGTGTAACTGCGGTTTGAGCTGTTAATATTGGATCGGATAAAAAGTTTTCTACGTTCATAGAATCTATAGAGTATTGTATATCGGGTGCATCATGAAGTTTTTCATACTTTGTTTGTACCATAGCATTGGATTGCAGAGGACCTGTTGAAGCTAGTGGTCCTCTACGAGTATCTTTATACTTGTAAATATCATCACGGATTTCCTCATCACTAGCATTTCTAGCGCTGTATGGCGATAAAGTAAAAACTACACCATCTATGGTGACGTGGTCATGAAGATTAAAACCAACAGCTAGATCATTTATAACTTGTATACCATGTTCCTGTAGATGGTTAGCAGGACCTACACCACTCAACATAAGAATTTTGGGGGAGTTTATAGAACCACCAGATACTATAATTTCCTTCTTCGCTCTTGCTTGCTTTAATTTGCCATTTTGTACGTACTCTACGCCGTAAGCGATTTTTGTTGAAGGATCTATTAGAACTCTTGAAACTTCAGCGTTTGTTTTTACCACAAGGTTTGATCTTTTATATCTTATAGGTCTAATATAAGCACCATTGGTACTTAATCGCTCACCATCTCTTGTTGTATGTTGGAGCAACATAGCGCCTATCACTCTATCTGAGTTCTGGTCTATAATGGGCAAACCAAGTTCTTCATATGCCTTCACTAATCCCAAAGTAACTTCATCTTGATAGGGAAACACCTCTACAGTTTGAGGACCATTCGTACCATGGAATCTACTATCAACCATATCGATATTCCTATTATCCTCACTCTTAATAAAGTACGGTAGCACCTCCTCATAACTCCAACCATGATTACCCATCTCAGCCCACTCATCATAATCCCTGGGAATACCTCTAATGTAAATCAGGTAGTTTATGGTGGATGAGCCGCCCATGACTCGGCCTCTCGCCCATGCGCAGCGGCCGTTTGGGCGGGCCAAGCATGCATTTGGTGTTGGTTGGGTTTCGTACATCCAGTCGATTGAAGAGGTTTGTAAAGCTGGGGCAAAGGCTGGCACTTCAGCAACTTCAGGTTCCTCGTCACCCGCTTCCAGAAGAAGGACCTAAAAATTTAGGATAATTTAGATATCTTTGTACAAAATAATTGCTTCGGAAATATGTGTATTATAGAAATAACCTACTAGATAAGAAAGTTAAAATACGAGCATTTTTTAGAATATTTTGTTAAAATTTAATGATTAAATTATACTTAAATAGCTACAAAACAAATCAATATTAAAATATTTTTTCGAAAAATTTTGAATATTACGTACTTAAGTATTATTAACTACAAAAAGTTAAAACATTGTTTTTCGTAAAAAAAAGATATGTATATCTACTGTCTGGGACAGAAAAATCTTGATTGTAAAGGGGTTCACAGGTAACCAGATAAAGTTCAATTTTTGTGACAACTTTCAAAAAAAAGTTATGATTTTGGTTATTTTTTCGACATAAAAAAGAAATTAAAAACTACTACACTAACTAATGCTATAGAGGAGGTTATTTAAAGTAGGTACCCACAAAAAAATTATGAAGTACTTTAAAGTTCAATTTTATTGTTGTTTTATAAATGTTTTTATAATATTAATTAACTACCTCCCGTGGTTCTTAAAAAAATTAAGGGTACATCTATAAGTCATTTAAATAAAATTGTGTCTGCGATTTTCTTTCCGTTCTCTTTCCGTTCCCTTTCGGTTCCTGTAACCGTTTCCGTTCCCCGTTCAATTCTCATTCCCATTAGTAATAGTAAAATAAAAAGTAAACAAAAAATAAAAAGCAAAACAATTGAAAAAACAATAAAAAAATCAAGTAAAAATAGTCGAAAAGAAATAAAAAAAAAATCAAAAAATCCGTCCCTACCCCAGCCGCCCTCTTCGCCCGTTGTAAAAACTATAAAACAGCGGGCCGCTTCGGGATGTCACTAAGTTTTAGAGAGTAATTATCATATAATAATTGAGGATTGTTATATACGAGAATAACAACTGAGGATCGCAGTTATTGCGCTTTCAGCAATAGGTGCAATTAGATGCTTTAAGCTTAGAAAGCTTACATTTTTAACTTAAACTCTATTTTCTAATTGAGTGTGCACTATTCACCAAAGATTTATCCATCTTAAAAATAATAATTTTATTAAAATTGCTTTGTGTAGAGTATACTCTATTATTAGGTGAAAATTTGTAAAGGCTTGGTGAAATTTTTATTATTATAAAAAAAACAAAAAAAATCATTTCATCCCTAAAATTAACAATAAATAAGTAATCTTAAATGTAAACAACATTTTTTACTTTTTGTTGCTGTCAGTGTTGAGTTTTATGAAAGTAGATGCTGAAAATTAACCTAGGTTGCTCTATAAAAAGTCTTCTACCTGCCAATAAAAGTACCTTCAAAATCTAAATGGCCGTTTCATAGATTAGCCAGCATAAACATTTTAACCCTTTAATTTAATTCATATCTATATTATGGATAGATAATATTTTAGAATATTGAACATTTTAGTTTTTTATCCACGTAGGTAATACCTACTTGCATTTGAATGCGCGGTTTGTGTGTCTGATTATTGTTTTAACAATTATCTCTTTATATCTATTATATAGAAACTATTTGTCAGTTAAACTAACTAGAACATAAGATTGTTAAACCCGCCCTTAATTTGGTCATAAGTCAGGAGGGCAGTTACACCCATTATCCGCGTCTGAACGTGCGATATGGAAATTCGAAAAGAATAGTTTTGAGAAAAATGCATCTAATAGTCCGCAATATCTGAATTTTTGGCAATGGGGTCTATCCATCTCAAATCGACCAGGCAAAAAGGGGTAGGTCGGTATTTTTTAACGAAATTTTTTTTACTGTTTCTTTACCGAAATCGATGAGACCCGTATTTTTTCTTTTTGCTTAAATTTGTTATGTTCACCCGCAGGAAATTTTTGAAAAATGGATAGAAACATCGATTCTTCTCTTTTTACAAGTGACATTTTTCTTAAAAACTTGCTAAAAAATGTTTCGATCGTTACAATTTGTTTTAATTGTAGGTAAATACGAAAAAAATATAAAAAATTAAGTGAATTCACTCATCTTTTATTAAAATAATAGTTTTAGCATAAACTATTGTTTTTCAATTTTTAAAAGCTCCTAAAAACCAGCATTGCAAAAAAAAGAATAAAATTGACTACTTCGCCCAAGATGAAGCAGAAAAGCCAATTCAAGACACTTTATATATAGAAATAAAATGTAATGTAATGATTTGACCTGTAAAAAAATTGACAAATATATATATATATATATATATATATATATATATATATATATATATATATATATATATTAGGGTGTGCCAAAAAAACTCGATATTTCTTTTTTCTTGCTCTCCACCCAAAATATCGTAGAATATGTCTAAACAAATATTCTGTTAAAAGCGGAGCTCATAATTTCAATTTTAAGAGGTCCCTCATCGAATCTGAAGTTTTGCCGCTTAAATAACACAGAAAACTGACTTTTTTACCTTATTTATTCTTGCAACCTAGGAAGAATTTTTTTTTTTCATAAAATCCATGACCAAATCTTACAAAGCATTAAATTTGGACGAAAAAATCTTATTAAGCCGAATTTCTATTTTCATTATTTGATTTTTTACAGAGCTTTAAGTTTAAAATTTTACGTTTTTTGCCTTTTTCAGCTAAACTATTGAAGTTAGACGAAAAAGTCAAATGGCAATTTTTTAGCTTGTCTGATGGAGCACAAAAAAGTTTTAGGCGAATTTTTTGTATCGTCAATATTCTAAAAGTTACAGGCGTATAAATTCATCATTTTTGTATTATTAACTTTAAATTTAAAGCTCTGTAAAAAATCAAATAATGAAAATAGAAATTCGGCTTAATAAGATTTTTTTGTCCAAATTTAATGCTTTGTAAGAATTAGTCATGCATTTTATGAAAAAAAAATTTTGTCCTAGGTTGCAAGAATAAATAAGATAAAAAAGTCAGTTTTCTGTGTTATTTAAGCGGCAAAACTTCAGATTCGATGAGGGACCTCTTAAAATTGAAATTATGAGCTCCGCTTTTAATAGAATATTTGTTCGGACATATTCTACGATATTTTGGGTGGAGAGCAAGAAAAAAAAAATATCGAGTTTTTTTGGCACACCCTAATATATATATATATATACAGTGTGTCCCGCTTAAGACCTTACCACCCTCGTAAAATTTGCATTTTTCAACCGATCTTCGTAAACTTTTTTTTGTTGGATAGATCTCTGAAAAAGGCTTTAATCACATATGTTACTTGTTTTGACCACTAAACTCATGGCCAACTGTGATCTCTTTTTGGGGTCGAAATTCCGAAAAGTACTATTAGGGATTTTTTCAGAGAAAAAGTGACCACGGATTATTGTTCGGGACCACTTATAATTACTATTACTATATACCAATTTTTATCGTTCTTAAATACAGGGTGTTCCAGATGGATGTTTTTTAATTTTTTGATAAAAACCTAGTAAAATTTGCATTTTGCGATTTTCTTAAACTTTTTTTGTTAAAAAAGGATTATTCGGGACCACTTAAAACCCCACTACACCAATTTTTATCGCTTTTAGATACAGGGTGTTCAAGCTGGACATGTTTTAATTTTTTGATAAAACCCTCGTAAAATTTGCATTTTTCAACGGATTTTCTTTAACTTTTTTTGTTGAAAAAGGCTTATTCGGGACCACTTAAAACCCCACTCTACAAATTTTTCTCGCTATTAGATACAGGATGTTTTTTTTTGATAACAAAAACAATGACGCGAATTAAACACATTTAGTGGATATTTTAGTAATTCCGAATGCTCCCTAAGCAACAACTAAATAGAGTAGTACAAAGAAACGTACACCAAAATTAATAAAAAATTTAATTTGAAATGGAAAATTAGCTGTAGATATACGAATTAAACACGTTTTTATTGTATTAGAGCAACTCAAAAACAAACATAGTAGTCATTTCAATTAGTCCACCATTTTGCATTATGCATTTGTCTATGCGTCGTCTACAGTTTACCACGCTTCTTAGCTGTTGCCTGGTTATACTGTGGCAAGCCTCCCGAATGCGATCGCAAAGTTCTTCTCGTGTTTGGAGTCTTGATTTATACACCTTATTTTTCCCCCATAAGAAGAAGTCAAATGGGGTGCGGTCTGGAGACCTAGGCGGCCAATTAATTACAGGGCTATTTCGCCAATCCAACGATAGGGAAAATTCTTATTTAGCCATCTCCTCACTTCAACATAGTTATGGATGGGTGCCCCGTCCAGCTGCAGATGTAAATTGAGGCGAACATTAAGGGGCAGTTTATCGATTTCATTATTAATTTCATTCTGCAGAAATCTAAGAAAATTAGCTCCGTTCAAATTTCCGTCAAAAAAGAAAGGTCCAATTAATCTTTCGTTCAATATTCCACACCAAACGTTCACCTTAGAGGAGTATTGCCTTTTGCATTCTATCACCCAGTTTGGATTTTCCTCACTCCACATTCTGGTATTTTGTGACGATACAATACCGTTTGTTGTAAATGTAGCTTCATCGGTGTATAAAATATTTTTGAGGAATGAATAAGCCTTTTTCAACAAAAAAGTTTAAGAAAATCAGTTGAAAAATGCAAATTTTACGAGGGTTTTATCAAAAAATTAAAACATGTCCAGCTGGAACACCCTGTATCTAATAGCGATAAAAATTGGTATAGTGAGGTTTTAAGTGGTCCCGAATAAGCCTTTTTCAACAAAAAAAGTTAAAGAAAATCCGTTGAAAAATGCAAATTTGACGAGGGTTTTATCAAAAAATTAAAACATGTCCAGCTGGAACACCCTGTATCTAAAAGCGATAAAAATTGGTGTAGTGGGGTTTTAAGTGGTCCCGAATAAGCCTTTTTCAACAAAAAAAGTTTAAGAAAATCAGTTGAAAATTCAAATTTTACGAGGTTTTTATCAAAAAATTAAAAAACGTCCATCTGGAACACCCTGTAATTAAGAACGGTAAAAATTGATATAGTGGGGTTATAAGTGGCCCCGAACAATAATCCGTGGTCACTTTTTCTCTAA